CCCCCCAACCCCCCAACAATACCCTTAACCAAATAGGCAATCCCCACTATTCCTGCTAATTAATATGATTTTGTCACACCAGAGGTGGCATCTCTTTAAGGTGCATGGCATTATCCCCTTCCCAAGTAGCTACCTTATCCTTAAGGTGAAAATGAGGGAAATTATATTTTATAGTCTCCATATCTTCCCAAGTGGCCTCGTACTCTTGGAACTGCTTCCATTAATTAACACTTAGATATGTCCCTCATTCTTTGCAGTGGAGCTGTAACACCCCAATCCATATTTGCATAAAATCCACATTTCCCATATAACATGAAATACAAATATTACACACTGTACACATATTGGTACATACAAAGTAGCAACAAACTTTTTGCTCATATAATTACGAACTTTTTTGCTCATATAATTACAAACTTTTTTGCTCATATAATTACAAACTTTTTTGCTCATATAATTACATGACTTGAATAACACAAATTCACAAATCAGAACACAACCCAGACCCAACCTCGAAGCATCACTATAAACCATAAAATCTTCCGTTTCTTCTGGTAGTGACAGTATTGGTTCGTTGCACAATCTGTCTTTCAATAACCGGAAGGCTTTTGCTTGATCTTCTTTCCACTCATACGTTACATTCTTTCTTGTCAATTTTGCCAGTGGTGCCGTGATGCGAGAGAAGTCTTGTATAAATTTGCTGTAATACCCCGCCAAACCCACGAAATTGAGGATCTTTGTGGGTGTTCGCGATGTCTCCCATCTTTCAATAGCTTCAAATTTCACTGGATTGACTTTAACACCTGCTTCTGAAATGATATGACCCAAGAATTGAACTTCCCAAGAATTGAACTTCCCTCATTTCAAAAGTTCTAGAATCAAACAAAGATGCTCAGGGTGTTCTGCTTCCGATCGAGAGTAGATAAGAATATCGTCGATAAAAACAATGACAAATTTATCAAGATATTCATTACATATTATGTTCATTAAATTCATAAGAGCAAGAGGGGTGTTAGTTAAACCAAATGGCATAACCAGAAACTCATGATGCTCATACCTTTTACGGGAAGCAATTTTGGCTATATTTTGCCCCAACCGCAAATCAATTTTGGAGAAATAACTTGCCCCGACTAACTGATCGAACAAACCATCAATTCTGGGTAAAGGAAATTTATTCTTTATTGTCAGCTTGTTCAATTCTCGGTAATCTATACACATCTGCATCGACCCATCTTTCTTTTTATCAAATAAAACTGGAGCACCCCAGGGAGAAGTACTAGGTCTGATGAAACCTTTATCCAACAATTCTTTTTAATTGTGTCATCAATTCTTTCAACTCAGACGGTGCCAAACAATATAGTGCTCTAGCTAGCGGTGCCGCTCCGAATGTTAGATTGATTCGGAACTCGACTGACCGCACAGTCGAATGACACAGGTTTCAAATATAAACATCCAACAAATAATGGTGATACAAAAGAATAGTTTGCACCAGAATCAAATAACACCTTAGCATATATGGAGTTTATAAGAAACTTACCCGTTACCACATCTGGAATTTTCTCTGCTTCCCCTCTAGACATCTGGAAGGATCGTCCCTACGCATGGGAATGGGGCGGGGCCTCAATCCCCGTCCCCATCCCCGATTACTTATCTCTATCTACGTCCCCGTCCCCATCCCTACCGGGGATTATAATCACATCCCTATCCCCAACGGGGAAACGGGGATTTCTTTTTTTTCGTTTATACAAGTTATTTTGAATTAAATATGTGAGAGACCATACATGTTTAAATCTCAAACATTTTCAATAAACCTAAAATCAAAATGAATTTAATTT